CGATTTGAGTTCAGAGATATACTCAACTGAGTATTGCAAGCAATGGCACCTGAACCTGGGTGCCTTTCAGTTCCAAGTACTGACAATCTTTGGTATAACTTAAGTATCTTTTCATTTACTAGGACCTGATGAACTGCTTCCTAGTACTATACTCTAATGCCAGCCGGAAAGCTTGAGCTGAATTTTATTTCTCTACCCTAACTTATTTGCCTGTACGTAAAATATTTTTTCTAAAAAATTCTTAAGGGACTATCAGAAAACAAACAGAACCATCCAAAGCATGGGAGAAAAAAAAAGGGGAGATTATATATACTTTCTATATCCCTTGGATGAAGGGACAGTAAATAAGCAGCAGTGAAATTAGTAGTAATAATAGTAAGATACAGAAATTAGTCAGGAGTCGGAAGCCTGAGGCAGGGGTAGTCCTCCACATGTTGCACTACAATTACCATCATCCCTAACCATCATCCCATCATCTTAGGCTGATGAGGGTTGGAAACAAACAAAACCTAGAGGGTCACCAGTTTCTCCAATTCTAGCCAAAAGAAGCCAGGGCATATTCCTAGTGAGGTAACAACAGACAACTACAGCCATACTCTTCTGAAGGAGGCCAAAGACAACAGTTGTTGTTCAGATGAATGTTGGTTCAAGTAATGCAGCTTTCTTTCATTTTCTCTTCATGATGATCAGCTTGCTTACACAACCCAAACCAATTTTCCATTTCTACCTCCCCAGCAAGCTTGGTTCTGCCAAAAGCTCTCCACTTGGGCTGCTCTGGCTCCAGCATCTATTGGAAAACAAGATGCTGCATGAGTCAGGCCTTTGGTCTGATCTAGCAGGGCTCTTCTTATAGCTTGAGAGCTTCCTCCCTGCATACGCAGAGACTGAAATAAAGATTACCATTACAATCATCCATTCCTTTTGCCTCCACTTTAGAGGCCAATCTACAAGCAGGTAATTTGCTAGGTTGGGAAGAAGAAAAAGGATGGTGATAGTGGTAGTTATACTGTTCAACAACGAAAGGCAGAGGCAGGATGCGTGAAGCCAGTGGATGTGCCAAGCAGGGCAGCAAGTGAAGGATCATTTAACTGGTATGACAGAACAAGTGAGGCCTAAAACAAATTAAGAATGGGGATCTTGATTCAATCAGTGCTTGATTATAGCACTGCTCGGGTTTGGCAGGGAGCCAGAAATATGAACCTCAGAGCTATGATGGATAAGAACAGGGGTCCATTTAGTCCAGCATTCTGTTCACACAGTGACCAGCCAACTACCTGGGGAAATCCACAAGCAGGACAAGAGTGTGACAGCGCACACCTGCCCATCTTCTTGAACTACTGGTGTACCTAACCATAGTGCTTTCTCATCTAGGAGGGAGCATATAGCCACTAGGACTATTAGTTATAGCCTTTTCCGCCATGAATTTTTAAAGCTAACCAAGGTGATGGCGATCACTGCATCTTGCGGAAGTAAATTCCATTGTTTAACTGTGCACTGTGTGAAGCAGTACTTCCTTTTGCTGGCTTTCAGTAGACTCATGATCTATATATTGGATGTAACAAAAAAAGTTGCAGTTGTAACCTGGGGTGCTTGCAAAATGACATGTCAGTGGGTGCAGCAAAGTGATTTGTCAAAATTGGCAAATGGCAACTTCTTCACTAAAAATTCTCCTAATTAAAAAAATATTTATTATTACTTTGTTTGCATTTAGATTTAATCCTCTTTTGTGAATCAAGACAAAATCTAGGAATTGCCTGAATCCACAGGCAGACATGCAGAGCACAAGCAGCAAGAACATTTCACATTTTGACAAAATCATGAATGAGAAGCAGGAACAAAGAAATCATTGAATGTTATGTTCATAACTGGGATTGATTTTAATGCTTACCATTTTTTTCTAGTTGCTTAATTTATATTGAATTTTATGCACCAAGTTAAAAGTTCGTTTGTTCAGTCGTTCACTGGTGGTACTGTATGTGGCTCAAAAATTAGAAATCTGACTTCATCTTCAAATGTGATAGTACTATTGTAGGAGATGAAAATATAAATCAAGCATTTTCCAGGGGTTTAGGGCATAGAAAAAATTGGGAACCACTGCTCTAAATAATGCACATTCCAAAAACAAAAGAATAAAGAGGCATGGAATCCTGTAAAATCAAAAAGCCTTCCAGTATTAAAACAGAGAGTTATAAACAAACTTACATTATTTATTTCAGTTCCAATTTTCAATAAGCCATTCATGAAAAATTGATCATTCTGGGGAGAATAAAGAACAAAGGCTTATCAATAACATTGTTTGTGTACTCAACTGTGTAAAACTGTTACATGGCAGCAGCAACTTGTAGAACCTAATTTTCAACAGTACAGAAAACAACTTAATGATGTCTGATTGCTATGAGTGATATCACATCAGCAAGCATACTAAAAAAACCTTTCCTTGTCTTTTACTTTCTTTAAAATACTTGCTCATCTACTCTTCCAAGGTACTGTGACTAAGATTAGACTAAATAGTAGTAGAAGTATCTAGAGCATTCTAACTTCAACTGAATATAGAGAGTATGTATGTATGTATGTATGTATGTATTTATTGGCCACCTATAATTGCCGAGGCCTTCCTAGGTGGCTTACAATGTAAAACATACTGAAAGTAAAAACACATTAAAAACCAATTAAAATATAATAAATTAGACATCTATAAAACAATGAAAAAGGGCCACAGCTAAACATTAAAAAAATCCTAAAAAGAGTAAATAAAGTTACAGATAATTCACTGAAACACAGGCTACCATCTCTTTTAAAAATTCCTTGTAGACAATACATTATCTTTCAAGGACTAATACAGTATTACCATATTAGAGAAAATGAAAATAATCTTGACTTACCGCAAACTTTTTGGCTATATCAGTAATTTCTTCTAAAGTCTCGATTTGATTCAGATTCTCCCAACTTAGCTCACCAAACTTACAATCACTTAAATGTAAAAAGTACCACATTAAATGTCATTCTGTACTACAACTTAAGAAGACTGAACTAAGCTAGCACTTGAAACAATATACAAATCTGAAAGTAAATTAAGTCAAATGTCTAGTTCAGTCATCACCTGTAAATGCCCAGAAAGTGCAAGCATTCTAGATTCATTTATGTTGCAATCCAATACATGTCTGGATTGGGGGGAAAAAACCAATCCCACAATACAATTCTAAGCATGCTATAACCAGTCATTGTGGTTGGGCATTGATAGGAGTTGTAGGACTTTTTCTGCCTAATATGCATAGAATATTTTAATATATTAAATACCCATAATCAAATAATGGTATAATCTTATGTAGATTTACTCACAAGTAAAACACCTGATAGGGACTTGCTCTCTGGAGATATCTCTGGGAGGTATCTTTAAGGCTGTAGTCTTAAGCTATAAATGCAGGGCAAGCAGAAAGTAGCTCTTCGGATGTTTTGGACTTCAACTCTGCCATTTTTGATCCTTGCCCATTCTGGCACAGGCTTCTGGTAGTTGAAATCCAAAAGACATGAAGATTTCTCTTCTGCTCACACCTCTTTTATAGGATTTAAGTTTCCTGGTGTCATTTTGAATAAGTCATGTCAGGACATTTAATGTTACTCTCCTCAATTATCTGTTAACACCTTAGTGTTGTTATAACCAATACACTGCAAAACAGATGTGGCAACACACACACAAAACTTTGATTTTTTAAGCTTCAAACAAGAGTGGTAAGTCAACATGCAATGAACAAACACAAACACACATAAAACCAATGCTTGTTTACCTGGGATAATATTTATTTGTGTGCTTAATTCCAGGAACAAATAAAAGTGGCCTAAAAGTGCATATTTTAATCACATCACAATACTTGTGCAGGTCACAGAGAGGTTTACTGCACCATATTTTACAGATATCACCTGTGGAAGAAAATAGGGAAAAGGGAAGAAAGACAAAGATAAGGATCCAAAGCAAAGCTCTGATAGTCCTATAAAAATGAAGATATCTGCCATTATGATGCACAGCAAATTTCCAGTACTGAGCTATTAAACCAACATAAATAAATGAACAACAGAGGACAAAACTTTCTTGCTAGCTTGACAGTGTTGGTTTATGTACCTGGTTTATATTTCTTTGAAGAACACTTTACAAATCTGGCACGAGCCTACAAAACAATGCAAATGTTTATAGTTACTACTCGGAAGGCAAATAATATGAAGCAAAAGTTAAAATGATCATACCGAGCCAACTGATTTAACTGTGGATTTTGAACATAACTCAAACCAATATTCATCTAGTACCAAAATGCATTCCTTGTTTGCAAAACAACTTCCTAAAATGTAGTTTTGAAATGCAGGCTGTGCTCTGAACAGTCTTTTTTTGGTAACATAGGAAAACTGAGCTTTTCTTTTCATTGCTGGAACAGAAGGAGTTTGTTTGCCAGAGAAGCAAGATAGAAAGGCTACAATAGGATGAGTCAAATTCCCTGTTGCACAGTAATATAAAATAGTCTATGACAGAACAGTGAAAATGTACTTGTATATAAAATGCCCTTTGGGATACACAACCCAGGGCTAAGCAGATGAAGAGCGCACCAAAGAAAAAGGAAAGGGGAGTATCTCATTGAGGGCTAGAAGCCAGTTACTATGATGAAACATAGCAAGTCAAAGCAGTTCAGACAGAAAACTTCCTATCAAAGAGATAACAAAAGGGATGTTACCATTTAACTTAAAAATCTGAGGACAAATCTGTTATCTCAAAAACACTATCTTCCTGCATGTTATGATAAACTGCTACATTGTACCTTTTACTTGCTTCTCTTTGTCTGTCTTATTTCCATGACAGGAAAAACACATAGAGCATCATTATCATCAGTTTTAATCTACCGTTAACCTATTATTATTAATATCCTGCCTATCCCCAGCGACTGGAGCTTAAGACAGATTTCAATATTAAAATTCATGCTATTAAAACATTTTAAAATGCAAACATTAAAAATATACTTTATCCATTTAGATCAGGAGTCTCAAACTCGCGGCCCGCGGGCCAATTGCCGGGACAGGCAGGACACGGGGGAGGGGCCCTGCGGCCTTCAAAGCGCCAGCTGCGCCCGGGCCGGCTGTGGGATGAGCGGCCCACCACCACCGCGGTGGTGGAATACTGGATGCGGCCCAGCCTCACCCAGACTCTACTTCCAGCGGCCCCCAGGTAAGTTGGTTTGAGACCCCTGGTTTAGATATTAAATTGCAACTAAGGCCCCAGTTAAAACACTAAGAAATAACACAAATAATAAAGTGCAAGCTCACAGGCCAGTCCCAAATGCCTGCTGGAACAAAAGGGTTTAATGCCTGCTTTCAGAAATTAGGGAAGCTGGAACCTAGCCTCCCCAGGAAAGGAGTTGCAGACCCTTGGGGCAGCCACTGAGAAGGCCCTCTCCTGCATTCCCCACCAAGAGTGTCTGTGAAGGTGGCAGGGCGTACGGCTGTCTATGGTCATAATTAACAACAGAGTTAGTAAAAAGTTTTACAATATGCCCTTTAGCTGCAGTACCAAACATGTTGTTTTCCCAGAGTATCTACTGACATACAAACATCTTTATCACACAAATAAATATGCATACATCTCAGACAGGCAACTTAACATCCACCTGTTCTTAAGCAACTCTAACTTTGTGCATTATAGCTAACAAGTACAAACAGACAGCAAGAAAACTGGACAGTATTTATTAAACCACCTACCAATTCACAACATGGTCTAATATAACTATGTAATGTGTTCTCACTGAAGTCTTTAAATGCAGAATTTTCCATACTGCATGATCCTGAAAAGAAAACACAAGGATATAATTGAGAGACAAAAGTAAATTACCAAACATTAAGAAATGTTGTCTAGCCCTGAAGGATTTAGTGAAGATAAAAATATAACTACCTTTTTCTGCAAGAACAAATATAGAAGTGGGGATAACAAATTTGGTTCAGATTTTGGCCAAAACACAAAAGAAAATCTAAATATTATCATTATTCTGTGGACTGCAAATCATATTTTTGGTAAGGGAAATTCTTCAACAAACATATACCTGAATCACTGTATCACCTCTGTTTAGCAACTTTTAAAAACACCTGCAAACAGTTTGCCTAGGAAAAGCCTTTCAAGTCAAATCTGATGTGTTAACATTCAATATTTTACTATGTTTTTCCACTGCAGGAACTTAAAATCAGAGACCAATCTGAGGTGAATTACCAGACACAATATAAATTTAATTACTCATTCTAGAAACAGTTATCAAAAACAAGAACACTTATTTCTGGTACCAGCACTAGACAATCAAGCCAGAGTTTTCTCTAGAAGCAAAAATGACCAAAATGAAGCCATCTTACTTTGAGCACATAATGAAAAGGCAAAACTCCCTGAAAAGGACAGTCATGCTAGAGAAAGTCAAAGGCAGAAGAAGAAAAGGAAGACCAGATATGACATGGCTTGACTCCATAAAGGAAGTCACAGCCCATAAAGGAAGTCACAGCCCAGCTAAGCAAGGCTGTCATGGACATGACACATTGTAGGGCCTTTGTTCATGGGGTCACTCTAAGTCAGAAATAACTTGACAGCACAAAACATCAACAAGTCAACAGATCACCCCTTTCACAGTAAGATTTTCTAGTTCTTAAATGTGAACTTCATGGTTTTCAGTGTCTTTTACATTTTCCACTCCTTCCCAAGATTCTTAAGATTAAGACCAAGAGGAACTAACAGAACATACAATACTAGGCTAACCCTGATATCATCCTAAATGCTGTAATGCTAGTACGATATGCTCTACACTTCTATTTTTCTGAACTATAAATATAGTCCCAAATGCAACCTATACACAGCCTATTTCCAGAAGCCAGTGGACCTATGGTGTGCAAGCATATAACTTGTAATAAGGATCTTTAATCCTGAATGTAGATACTATTCTTTTGGCAAAACCCTCTAAAATTGCACAAAGATGATAAACTTTTCTAGTTATAACTGGGGGTGCTACATTTGTGCAGTACCTTCTACAGTGTTCATTATGATTCTCGCATGTGCCCCAGCCCCTATCAAATCTGTAAACACCAGAATACAAAGCAAAACTAATGGATTCAGCATTTTATAATGTAGCCACAGCACAGGAGCAGGTTACAGGTAAGGATTCTTATAATCTTGCATGAATTTCCCCTAACAATGTTGAAATCAGAATCCATACTTTTGCTTACAGACTGTACCATTAAAGTCACAGAACACTTTATGGTGCCACTGTAGCAAAAAAATGAACTCTGAGAAGGATTATCTTGCTTTATACATAAATACCCCCACAAATCCACCAAATCACAGCTCATTTCTATCTCCAAATATTGCACCACAAAAGCCACCATTCCATAGCTTCCAGGAGCTGCCATGCATAAACTAGATCCATAGGATTTTTTATACAGACTGCATTCCAAACACTTTAAAATCAAAGATCACATTAAATTGACTGGACCATAAACAACATTGATCCACAGCTGTCATGTCATAAGAACATTGCCACAGATCATTCTAGTGAACCTTCATGAATTTGCTATGAAATCACTTCAAAATCACAGACCATTGTTTTATCCATGTGCTACAATGAAAAATCACACATCTACCACCTATCATATTACAAGACACAGATCCTCAGGAATAGTCTGTTTTTTAAATGGGCCTCCTTCCATGAATTATAAATCACTTTACAACTTGAACTGCACCATATGTCACAAGTTCAGTACTTCACACTGCAGAAACATAAATTGGAAGCACTGATTCTCATCAACCTACATATTTCTTTTTTAATACTGATTCTCTCCAAGTCTTTCATCATTTCACTGAACATACTTGTATCCTTGAATTTGTGGTTCCATCATGATAATGCAATGGTGATAAAACATGGATCCAAGTTACAAATCTTCATGGATCCTCTGATAGTTGGGTTCCATCAAATAAAATTTTACTACCATGCCACAGACTGTATCATGACAATCAGATCCTTTGCCTATTGCCACCAGAAAATAAAAATGGATGTGAACATATCATCACAGGCACTTCCCCAAAACACCCTCAAATTATATCACAGATCATAGCACCACGGACTCCACCAATTAAACCATAGTTCTAATGACTTTTCTAAACCATCACAAAACAAAAACCTCAATTTTTAAATAGGATCTCTCAAAACTATCATCAAATCAGATCATAAATGCATGATAAAAATTGCTACCCTGTGTCACAAAAAGCATGGATACAAAGCATGGATGTTCATGATTCCTATACAGAATCCCATCCATGGGCAGCACTAATATATGGTGTGGCATTTCCAACCACTGTCGTGGTACAAAAAATTCTATGATTCACAGATTCTATAAACTTTTAAACCCAAACCCATCATCAAATCAAAGAATTTGGGAGTATAGTAAACTGCAGTCATGACTGCTCCATAAAAAACAGTGAACCAACTCTTCTTCCTATGGCACAAGAATATGGGTTTAAAGAAGTGTTTACATATTCTAAGCCCACAATTAAATCAAAGTTTACATCTTTGATCAGACCATACCATAAAAATCATGCATCCAATACAACATGGTTCCACTAATGTTCAATAATCTGGATCTGAGATAAAGATGTTCATGTATCTTTGCTGTCCCTACAATTCATTTTTTCCTGAATAAATCACACACAGAAAGCAAATTTAATTGTGTTGGCCGAAAGAAAAGGGCTAACAAATAACATCTCTATTAGAATGATACCTTAGCCACAAAGCAACACCTTCACTACAAGATACAGCAGCCTTGTTAGGCCAACTCAAAGGTTACAAGGGGCAAGCTTTCAAGTTTTTCAGATAACTTCAAGCAAGATGCTAAACAAACTGAAGCGGAGTTCGGAGGTTTCTCTCTTGCTAGATCGCCACGTAGCAAAAGACTGGAACTGCTGCATTCCAGCTGTTAGAACACTGTGACTCGAAGAGCAAGTGATAACCCTTCTTAATTTGGACTAAAATCCTTCAGAGACGGATTTGGAGCAGGATCGTACCCCGGAAACGCCCAGTTCACTTCCAAGGCACCTACCGGGGAGCCACGACTGGCGCCTTCACAGGAGGTTCAACAAGGAGCCCGCTGCGTCACTCCCCAGCGGGCCTATTCAGAGGATGCCTCCCGAAGAGTCAGAGCGCGGGCACAGATGCAAGGAAGGACCTCCTCTCGCAGCGTTCCGAGCTACCCTCTTTCGATCCCGCCTCCCTTGATGATAGATACTCAGGGACACAATAAACACCAGCTAAAGGCCTCTGCACGCGCGAGGCGAATGCAGGAGGGAAGAGTCCAGCCTCGCGGGGTGGGGAGCAAGCAGCGAACCAACCAAGGGCTCGTGGCCCAGAGGCCAGGCCGGGGAAAGAGGCTGGGACGCGCCACGAATTCCCAGCCACGTTGTCGGTCGCGCGCAGGCTGTATCCTTCCTCACCGGCGCCCAACCAGCCGAGTCTTCGTACAGCGTCCGCGCTCCTGCGCCCTGTCGAGGTTGCCGCTGCGACTGCCTCTTTTCTGGGCCGTTCCCACGGCCCGCCCCGCCTGCGACTTGCTCTGCCTCCTCACTGGCCACTCGCTTTGATGACGTTAGCCTTGAAAACACGCCTCCAGTTCCCTCCCCGTCGCTCTTCCGCTACAGAAAGACTGAAGGGAAACCTCAGTCTGAGCTCCTCTTCTGGTAGAATGGATCTACCAGGTAGATCCATTCAAACTGTTTGCGAAATAAGGTCACTTCTTTTAAGTATTTCGACACTAAAGGATTTAGCTACTGCAACAGCAATTTTGAAGCCCCTCAAAAACAGCGCTTTTATTGTGCATAAACTTTTCGTGGATCATCAGCATCAATATGGTCAATGGTCAGGGATGCTGGGTGCTGTAGTCCAAAACATCTGACGGGAATCAGCTTGCCGAAAGATGCTGTAAGGTCTAATGTTGTTAGGGTGGGACAAAACTTATAAAAGCATTTTTAGAATCGCACCACTCAGACTTATGTAGCCTTCCCCAGTCTGGTGCCCTGTCCTGTGTTTAGACTAAATTTCCCATTATTCCTGATAACAGGCCATTACAGGCTTAAAATCTGACAGGCACCAGCTTGGGAGAGGCTGTATAGAGATTGTTTAAAAGGACGAATTAGTAAACTGAAAACAGAATATCTTAGTTCTTTTTCCTACGTATTTTTATCTTCTTCCGGATGCTCGTGGAGAACTACAGAAAACTCCAGGCTTCTCTGAGTAGGCATCAGTGCATCCACGAAAATGAAAGGCAGCAAGAATGTCAAGAGTTCGAATGTGAGCCCTGTTGAACGTGATGTGACCTACTTTCGAATAAACAGGCATAAAATTAGCTTGTTATTATTCTAAAACTATAAAAAAAAAAGTAGTTGACCCAATGGAGAAAAACCGAGACCAAACTCGAAACCTGAACAGTACTTTTAACCAGCTACCAGATATATTACAAACTACTAAGCGAGCTTTCGCTTAATGCAAATTCAACATCGCACAGCTTAATTTCCGGTAAAAATTGAAAGCTAACGTTAACCATGATTCCTTTAGTCCTCAGACAAGCGCCGCTCTAGCACCCGGCATCTCAATGGAAAACCAGCACGCACACCCCCACCCCGCTTCCGTGTCGTTAGCATCGCTAGTAAGGGTGGAAAGACCTTTATTGTAAATGGGCACTGCCAGTCAAAGTCTTTAACTCTATGTTCAGAAGCTATTGATTGGGAAGAGCGTAAACTCGGCCCAGCTTCCGGTTGGTCATTTTGAATTCTCATTGGCCGCTTTGCAGCAGGGCGTAGCCAGAAGGAAAGGTGAGAGAACGGGAGTATCTGGTTTCGAGTTGAATAGTGAGCTTGGTCGAGTTGTCTGCCTGGTTCGTTCAAGCTGCTATTTTAGGTGTGTTGTTTGGGGGGGGGGGGGGTCTTCTGCCAGTACAGATTTTGGTGTCAGGTTTTTTTTTTCCTGTGTCATTTTAAAGTAGGGTTTAATTATCCTGTGATTCATGCTATGCATACTTTTGGCAGGGGCTTTGTGTCCCCTCGCTCAGCTTGTTTTTTGTTTAAAGAAATGCAGTTTGGTGAGGGGGCTCCCCGACAGCTCTGGCCAGCGCTGTGTTGCTGCAGTCACAGCCTCCTTTGCACAGATACAACTTGTGGCCTTCGAAAACATATTTGCCTCTAATACGAAAAGCAATTAATCGACAAAGAGTTCTTGAGGTCATTGAAACCATGAAGATTCCACACTAGTGAATGTTATGTACTTGTATGTAGTTAACATATAGGCCCCACAAATGATTTGTGATTGCTTTACTGTCCATCTGAATGATTAAAGGTGCAATCAGCTGTGGCATGCTACCTTTTCCTGTCTATACTTGTATAGGATTGCCCCCTAGACTGCTTGAATTTGGGATCAATGCTGTTCTAGGTGCTGGTGTTGGTTGTATACATTGGATTATAAGGCTATTAATTCTGAGGACTGTATTACCTCAAGTATTAAAGGAAGTATCCATATACACTAATTGCTGGGAACCGTTGCACTTTTGTTCTGCTTGTGAATTTACCAAGGGCTGCTGTTGAACAGAATGCAAAACTAGGTGTGGACCCATGCCCTAAATTAGGCAATTCATCAATTTCTTAGACAGCTTTCATAAGGAAAGGGTCAAGATGACTTAAAGTAGAAGAGGAAGCCTACAGTCTTATACACAGTTAACATAAGAGTAAACCTTGCTTTCTTCAGTAGAATTTACTTCTGAGTTGACATGTACAGGCTTGTGCTGGAAGCTACCCTTCAGTGTGTCTGATTAAGTGATATTTTTAACCTTGAATCTTCACATCCAAGGAAAACTAAACCAAATATTTGCACGTTAAGATGGGGCAGAATTGCCTATCTTGCATACATCTGTAAATTATTTCCTTTGCTTTACTTCCTTAGTTGTTGGGAGCTGAATTGAAAGGATGCTTTGTCAGGTTTGTTGGTGAATGTAAAATAGCAAAGCAATGTAAAGCTAATGGTCTTTCTTTTTCTCTGCAAGACAAAAAGAAGACACCAGGATGGTTGAAAATTCACCAGCCCCACTGCCCGAAAGAGCTATATATGGCTTTGTTCTTTACTTAGGCTCCCAGTTTGTGTTTAGTGAGTATGTTTATTAACTGTTGAATCCTGGTATTCTTTCCTATGTATTAATTGTAATCCAACAAGAACCCTGATGTGCACTATGTGCAAATGAACATATGTAGGCCGGGTGATTAGCCTCATTATATTTTCTGCCCAGTATTTCTTTATTTTCAAATTTATAGGCCACTGAATAGCCCTCTAAGGGCTCTGTAAGCCACAGCAATATGAAAAACAGGCCAACAGTGCACTTACAGATGCAGGTGTGGGGGAGAAAAGAAAATACTCATCATAAGCCATTTATTCTTTTTTAAAAGTTCACAACTTTAATATGAGCTAATAATAGTAAAGAGGAGAATGTTAGCACTTAAAGCAACACCACTTGGAGATCATTACTGATCATTTGGAGATCATCAAGCTTACTGAGTTAGGATCCTGCCTGAGCTGCTATTACTCTTTTAGAGCCAGTCTATCTCTGAATGTAAGTCCTATTGATTTCAGCAGGCTCATTCTCAGTTAAAGAAATAAAGGGCTTAGCTGCAGTTATAAGCATCCTTGGAAATTAGTTGATTGAATTCATTCCAATGTCTAGGCAAACATGTAAAGGATCTGGATGTGCAACTTGCATATGAGCCTGAATCATCTATCTTGTGTGTTGTGTTTAGTTTTATTTTGCTTGTTTGTTCAGGACTGTCAGATTAACTTTCTGATATCATGGCTGTATAATACCTTGAAATGATCTGGTTTTTAATGCTGGCAGAGCTCAAAAATTGCAGTGGTGTTGGCAAGTTCGAATATGATTAGTTGAATTTAGAATTATATAATTTTTTTATCTGAATTATCTAAAGTCCTTTTGGTAACAACATAACTAGTTGGTCTTGGAAGGCATCCACCTTTAAGGAATACTTAAGTTTCTTAAATTGAGTTAAATTCAGGACATCAGTAGCCAATCAAGACGTTGTTGTTGTTGTTGTTTTAGATGTGGTCAGGCATGGTCAGGATAACATGGCTGCAAGTCTCCCATACATATTTTGCCCAGGTCCAACCTTACCTTTCCAGATAGGGTGTAGAATTAATTTTATAGCTGGAAATAATAATCTTTCCAGATAGCCAAGCCAAATACAAATTTAGCCCTTCTAGTCTATGAATTTGTATTGTATTTGCAACTGTACTTAACTTTTCTTGCTCCTTGTTTTATTTATGTAGTTTTGTATCTTGTGTGGGCCTACATACCTGAATCCTGGCTGTTTTCACTGGGGTTAACATACTGGCCCCAAAAGTAAGTTTGAATAACTTTCTCATTAATGGTGCAATCATATGACAAAACTCATAATCCCTCATAAACTTGGAGACCAATGGTTATCAAATGAAGAACAGGAGCAGCACTGGAAGCAATCTTCACTTCCATGTGGTTCTACCTTATGTTTTCTTCTAGACAGGTTGGGGTTTTTTGTTTTTTGTTTTGGCCAGTTTAGTGGCAGTATCTCAGGAGAGGGATGTGTTAATTTCTGACCTTTCCTTTCCTACATTCCCACCGTCTTTTGCCCTTCACTGGAGTTGCTTTCCAAACCTCAGAGCAACAACCACAGTTCTATCCATGCCTGGGGGTGGGGGGTGTCAGGGCACCAAGTTCCACTCTCTGTTTCCAGCTTCAGATATAGGCATCTGAACTGTCCGGTGGATGCCAAGGCATCCATAGGATTGTTCCATTAATGTTGGAAAAAGTGATAAAACTAACCCACTGTAGCCTATCAACATACCCTTAGGGCACAATCCTAGTCTCATGATGTTCTCAGGGAGACAAAGGATTAGTCAGAGCTCTAATTTCTTGAACAGAGCTGTGAGTGTGAAGGCTGAGCCCCTGCCCTGTCCCCCACACCTCCCCCTCCACTCTTTCAGCTGGTAGAGAGGCAGCTGACAGTATTCTTTCTACAACAGTACAACTGGGCCACAGAGCAGAGGAAAAAGGAAGAGGCTGAGAATGACAACCTAGACCATTTCTTATAGGTTCCTCAGCTTTCTTTGCTCTTATCCAGATAAAATGCAAGGCTCCATGCACTGGATACACGTAAGTTGCTAAGCTCAGTGGCATACATGTATCTGCAGTTGAGGGCATTCGATTTTGCTCTTAAGTACAGGAAGCCTTGCAACAGCAGACTGAGAAACTCCATGTAATTTAGCAACCTGTTTCTAACAATGGCCAGTCAACTGGGCATCATTTGATTATCATCATGGCTAATTGCTGTTGCCATGCTGACAATTCATCTGGACCATGGGTCCTCAAACTATGGCCCGGGGGCCAGATCTGGCCCACCATGCCCATTTATCTGGCCCGCCTCAGAGGTTTTCAACATGCTGCGTGTGTACCCGCCGCTGCCCACCTCAACCCCCATGTGAGGAGGTGGCAGCTTGCTTGGGAGATCGGTTTGGACTCGGAGAAAATGATCTCCAAGCAAGCACACCTGCTGCCGCATTGAGGTGTGTGCCCGCCTTGCCTCCCCTTGCTGCGCATGCCCACCCGCACCTTACCTGCGGGCCCCGCCCCTGCCTCAGCGCCACTGCTCCCGCATGCCCCGCCGGCACCACCTTTCCGGCCTGCACCAACACCTTTCAACTGGCCCCCTGGTGAAAAAGTTTGAGGACTCCTGATCTAGACTCTAGTCCTTGTAAACTAGTGGCCATCCCCACATCCTGTAACAGTAAATTCTGTAAGTTATGCATTCACTGTGATCCATTCTAAACCTACTAGCAATCAATTTAAATAAACAGTTCTAACATTATAAGGCAGGGAGAATAATCTTTCTATCCACTAATACAACTCAATTCTTTTATTAATTTCTGTCCCCAAGCTCCTTTGACTAGTTTCCTCAATTTAAAGTCTCCAGACATTATAGTATTTCCTCACAGGAAGGAAATATTAGTCCCTTAACATTTTGCTTGTTCTCTTCTCTACCTTTTCCCATCACTGTGATATTCTTTTTGACTTGTGGCCAAGTTTGAAATACTTTTTGCCATTGTATTTCCATGTGTACACAGCACAACTTAAGGTAATTTTTCTCCACAGGTTCTGGGCAGTTGGTTTGCCTGTATACCTTTTAGTTAGTTTGGCAATAGGCTATGTGCTCCTCTTTGGTGTTAACATGATCAGTACTGCTCCACTGAATTCCACACACACCATTACAGGTAAGGATCTTGACAAGAATGGAAAATAATACACTTGAAATGGGACTTTTGCTTTGTAATACTATTATTTTGTGCCACCAGAATCTCCATCCCTAAATACCCACAACTAAGATGTTTTGAGTTTTTATACAATTTTATAATAAAATTTGTATCTTTTATTATACATTGCATGTATGCATCATTTAAATTAATCAGCAGCTTTAAAAATATCTAAAGCAGTACATTCAATAAAACTAAACAAAAATATTGAAACAAATGCAACAGTTCAAAGCAGCAAGATTTGAAGCCATTCAGTAATTGTTAACAAGTAACTTAAGTAATTAACAGAGAGAAAGTCCAACTTCTTCCCTTCAGAAAGAAAAGAAGCTTGATAAAACTATATAAACCCCAAGGGCAAAGCAAAGTGAAAGTGGCAAGAACTCAGATTCTGAACATTGAAATTTAAAACAGAAAAATCATTAAAATGTGCACATGTACAGATACCCCATTGCCATCACTACTGACAAATCTATAAGTAGAACATGTTAAAATAACAAATGTATTCAAATAAATTTAAAAGGCTCTAAGACAGGTTTGCTTGCAACCAAAAGGATAATAATTTTGATGATTGTCAGGTCTTCTTGGGAAGGAGATAGTGTGAACAAAACACTATCACTGCAAATGTTTTGTCACTGGGTCAAATAATTAATTGTATAATGTATAATTTCAGATGGTGGGGAATTATTGAATGAGAGCTTTAAACTATGAAACAATAATTTTCATAATCTAAGCAAATGGCTTATAAAACAAGTGTCTAATTATTAGGAGGAATACTGGGAACCCTCTAGGAGATCATTCAACAGAGGGTTTACTTGCAGAGCTCAGTTCTTTTCACTTTTAATGTCCCCAAAAGAAGACATTTAGAGTAGTGCTCTAAAAGAAGCACTTCCTTAAAAAGATTTTAAAAGGCATATGGGATCATACAAGATGAACTGCTGAATGTTGCATCCCTACTCTAGAAATGGCCTTATGAGAAAGGGCCTTAATAAGGTTTTAGACTAGAACAGGATAGTTTTTGAAATGTTGGATATGGAACATTAAAAGTTGCATTCCTATGCATATTTATACAGAAAGTTCCGCAAGTTCCAAGATTCCCCTAAGCAACATGAAGTTGCATGACATTTCACTGTTTAAACATGCATAGGATTGTGCCTTGAATTTTCTCAATGTGTATTTGAAGTGGTACAGAAACTTCCAAAAGGATTGTGTTTTTCTTTTGTTTAAATTAGCCATTATTTTCTAGGATACACATGGTAAAATTACCTATACTTTGTATTTGTTTCATAAAAGATAGTGCTGTATACATAATTAATCTATATGTAAAATGGCATTCTTAACTGTTGTCAAACTTTTATCCTCTACTTGGCTTGCAACATCTCCCCCTTACATTTTCTACAGATCATTATGCAAAGAACCAGAAACTGAAGAAACCACAAGATGAAGCTATCCCTACATTAAGAGATATTCCTATTAGTGAAGTAAACAAAATGTTTTTCTTGAGTGGCACAGAGGAGTGTCCTAGAAATGGATGAAAGAGAATGCATTTTATGACCTATTCATGTGGAAAAGAATTTTATAATCCTGAATTGAAACATTGAGGAAGAAATGCTAGAATGCTTTAATTCAATGAGTGTATATGAAAGTGGTTCTAATAAGGCTGCAATACTCACTATGCATTTTTTGTCAGTTGAGATGCCAGCTGACAAATGGTCTCAATCCATGCTGCCCCTTCCCTAATATACACTTTTAAGTATTCTATTAATGATTTTCATCTAGATTGCTAAATATAAGAACCCCCTTAATTGGTTGTCATAGTAACACATTAAAAATTCATTCAGATTAAAATAGAGTGGTACAAGGAGCAGTAAGATGGAGCACCATGATTAATTTAATTTATGTCATCTGTAAATTTAATTAATGCATGTCATCTGCAAACGCCAAGAGAGCCTGGATTTACAGATGACATATTCTAAGCTACTGCTGAAAATGCACATTTTCTGTTTCCTGAACTGCATGGGGGAGGGTTTTCCAAAGGTGGTGCCACTACCAAGAGGGTCCACCATCAAGGTATTCTGTGATAGCATTCCACTAATTTTAGCAAGACCAGCAAGGCCTGTAACAAGCTTAAAGTTTGACTAGGTAGATCTAAGGAAATGTGGTCTGCTAGGTATCCTGGTCCCAAGTTGTTTAGGGCTTTGTATGATAATATGCTAACTTTGCACACAGAGTAGCTAATTGCAAGGCCAGTGCCACCGAGACCCAAGTGATAGAGTGGGCCAGGAAGGTACAGTCTGCAGTACCAAAAGACACCAAGATCAACCAAATAATGGCTCCCCCCCCATACACAGTGAGGATTCTGCATCTCTTTGGAAGTATCCGAGAGTGCAGAAGGATCCCCACTGCAGAATTTCAGCTTTAATGTATAAAGGGCTGTAAGGATAATAAGGCAGTGGGATTCAACATAAGGTAGTGTAGGACCAAAGAATACTATGAAAGTTACAGAGAATGTACCAGCCTCATTAGATAGGATTGTATGTTGTTCCCTTAACAGTTTTCCCCATAAACTACCAGCACCTTCCAATTTTCTCCAGGCAGGTGACTTCACATTCTCAGAGGCATATCAACAAAAGGATTAATAACAACCCTTGCATGGAGTAGGGGAAAATGCCTGAGTCAATTCTGAGCCATAAGAAAAGCCATGCTGGATCAGACCAGTGGTCCCATCCAGTCCAGCACTCCTTTCACATAGTGGCAGACCACATGATCCCTCAAGCAGGATAGATATCAGAGTTCCACCTGCCCAAACTCTTCAGGATGTGGTATACATGGACATATTGCTTATGATAATGATAGTAGCACATAGCTTACTGCTATGATAGCTTTATTCATGGATTTGTCTAACCCTCTTCTGAAGCCATCCAAATTGGTGGCCATCACTACTTTCTGCAGCAGTAAATTCCATGGTTTAATTATGTGCTTTTACACTTTAGTCAGAGGAAGAGTTATGGAAAACTCACCACTATTTTGTTACATTTTGGTTCACCTTATTCAGGTATTGCTTGCATGGATTCTTAAACTTCTCCTATGAACAACCTTTGCATTTTGGAGAATGCTGAATTGAGCTTTAGAGCAGTGGGTGCTTTCACTGAAATGTAAAAATCTGCCACCTGAAGATGGAATTTTAGTCTGAGTTATTACACTCAAAGTTACCTAATTTGTCTTCTGTTGTTGTTTTTACCTTGTGTACCACCTAAGATTATCTCCAGCATTTTAAATGTGAAAACTCAGTTTAAAGACAAACTGGAACCATGCCAGCTCGCAGCTCCAGTATTTTGTTTCAATAGTTGCCAACCAGATGGCTATGGGGAAACCCACAAACAGGACTTGAGATCCTGCTCATGTTACCTATCAACATATATTCAGTGGTGACTTGCCACCACTGATAATGGTAATATATAGTTATTGTGACTAAGTAAGCATTGATAACTATCTTCAATAATTTAATCTCTATTTACAGCCATCTAGGTTGGTAGCACTCACTACACCTTATAGTAGCAGGTTGCTTGTTTAACTATATGCTATAGGAAGATTTGGTTTTTATTTGTCCTGAAACTCCTGTTGCTCAGTTTAATGGATCTCCCAGGTTCTAGTATTCTCCTTGCCCACTTTTTCCACATCACACATAATTGACTGTGTCTTTAATGTGTTTTCATGCTCACATCTGTTTTGTAAGCTAAACAGTCCCAGACTTTATAACCTTTTGTCATAAGAGGATTATTTTTGACCTTTGATGAGAAAGAATGGAGGGTTCTGCCTTTGCTGTTGCCAGGCCAGCAATTCCAGGTGGAACTGAAGCCATCATGGCACCTAGTAAAGCCTAATTTGGATGAGTACTACCACCTGTCACAAGAGTATAACTAAAGGCAGACTCCATTATCAGCTGCCTGTATCCTCTCTGCCCTTGGTTAGAGGTGTGTTGGGGAGTTAAGAGGATGTTTGCCTGCACTGTCTTTTATATATGGTTGCTTATATGGGTTGTTCTGTTTTGCCTTAGGCTTTGTGTTTGTTTTACCTGGAGACTTTCCTGTTTATGGTTTGGCAGCATGGTGCCTGTTTTGGGATTAAGGGGGGTGGGGGTTGTCTGTTTGCTTCTTTGAGTTTGTTTCTCTTACCACTGGTTTGTCATCTGTGAGAAGATTTTGCTGTTTTTTGTGGGGGTAAATGTGTTATTTGGTATCTCTGGTTTAGAGTGTACTAAGACATTGAGATCTTGTCTGCAAGACTGTCAGTTTGCCATCTGTGAAATGGGTGTAGGAACAAAAAAAAAATAGGTTAAAAAGAGCTTTAGTATTTTGATAATGATTTCTCCACGGCAATTTTTATTTAAAAAAAAAAGAGTCCACCAGCTGTAATAGTACTCCACCTTCTTAGTCCATACATAGTGAACATGGACATCTGGAATGGGAAATATATGGTCTGTTGAACCCCAACTGCTATTAGTTCTAGCCAGCAGGGCCAGTAGTTAGATATGATGCCTATTTGTGGTTTAGCTGAATGACTACAGATTGTTTGCCTCCAATATAAACTGGCCTCATCAAACTCATGTTAATCACACATCACAAATTAGATTTACATAAAACAAATGCACACATACTTATGTCAGGTTGGAGTGCTATGAGTCAGAAAATAAAAGTTTGTGTTTACTGTGTTTATACATTAAAAGTTTAGCTGTAAAACAAATAGGGGAATGGACCTGACTTCAATCCCTAATTTTATAATCCATCAAATACCCCAGGCTATAAGTGACCATGACTTTGTGTCAACAACTGTAATTTGAATCGTAAGAGGGCCAGCTTGAACAAAGTTGATTGGCCCAGAGACTGTTAACAGATCACAGGAGAAATACAGTTATTGCAAAGTTAATCCAGTATGGTGCCTAAGTAGTTCAAGTATCACACTCAGTGTTGGGAGACTTGGATTCAAATTCTCACTTATCTGTGAATGTTCTTGGGCCAATCTATCAGCTTACCTAATCTAACAGGCTTGTGTGGATAAAATGAGAAGAACCATGTATGCTGCCTTGAGTTTTTGGGTACTGATATTTAATAGAAAAGTATCTAATTCAACATACCCTAATTTTGACACTCAGAATCATTTTTATTCTCACTGAAATCCCCCAAGTACACAACAACTTGATTTTATATGCCAGTTACACTGCTTAAGCAAAATGCAAAAAAAGCAAACTTATAGCTGAAAGAACAAATTTAATACTGTGGGGCAAATAGCAAATTTCAGCCAATCTTCAATTTTGGAGAAAATGCCAGAAGGAAAGAACTAATGTCTGAGCTTTCCTTTTCCTCTTCTGTTCCCACTATTTTTCCCTTGTGTGATATGTCTTTTACACTTGGAAGCCGAAGGATGGAGTGCTCATATTACTGAGCCCTGTAAGCCGTTCTCAAAGCCTTCTAAAAAAGGATTTAAAGCTGCGTGGAGATTGATACAGTATTCCAATACTGTATTCCAATTGATACAGTATTCCAATACTGTATCAATCAGTATTGATTGATATCAGTGGTTATACAGAGATTAGCTTGGCAATTATCTTGTTTTCTTAGTAAAGATTTTCATTTGTCTGCTCCTAAGAGCCTGTGAAAGTATGAAGGCAGTGAGATGATGAATGCAAATTAGTCTAATAGAACTTCACAGGACTATCCTGTTTCCTTTACTGACTTCTGTGATGTGAAATGATCCCGTTTCTTGGAAAGAGCGCTACGGTTTCGAATCATGAGTCATGACTGGATGGCCGACCCCTCCCTCACCATCCCCGGGAATCCATTTTTGGTGGTTTCCCCATCCAATCTGCCTTGACAGGCAAAGCTCAAAAGGGGACCTGATTTTTCTCTACGTTGAAAGCTCGAGTAGCCTTGGGGACGAAAGGAAGGAAACCTCTGCCAGAACTGCCTTAGTTTGACTAAAGGTAAGAAGGCTTCACGGCAAGAGACAAGAGTGTTTTTAATTCTGCACGCGCGCGGAGATTATTTCTCTATAATCTTAAGGGGCGGTGCTGTCGGGATAGCACATGGCATACCTCGGAATCATTTCGTTTTGCCTTGCTCGCGCTCCTCCCCCCTAGAACTTCTAGCGGACTAGCAGCACCGAATTTCTTTGGCTGGAAAATGCGGAAGCACGAATGAGCAATGTGCTGGAATAATGGAGTATGTGACAGTAGTAAATATTAAGGGAGCAGTTGGTTCCGAAAGCTTATTCGGATTAAACAGAAACTTTAAGTGAAAGCCTCTGTTCCTACGTGGTACGTTATACAGGAAACACTTGCTCCTCGTGGCCTCGTATGTGAGAGTTGCTTTAACAGGCATGCATAAATCGAAGTCTCTCTCTGTTATATCCCTCCGCCTGGTCCTCCTAGTTCAGTTCAGTATTGCCACGAAGCTTTGCCCAGGACCTCCCCTCATCCAACTGGGCACTCTGGGAAGCTAATTACATACTCGTTGCTGTGCAGAGCAATGAGAGGGCGGCTCCTGGGCGGTGTCTACCCAAAGAGGCGGTTTCAGCATGACTTGCATGTATGTGAGCAAAGCAATGCAAGGAAAAGTAGGCAATCCGGTGCCCTTAAGATATTTCGGACTCCAGTTCCTAGCTATTCTAATAATCGGCCCTGCTGGTGTTTCAGTAGAGACATCTTGCCCACCAAGGTTAACTTAACCTTCTCAAACTTCGTGCCTTCTAGTTTTGGACTTGAGCCAGCACGGGCAATTGTCATGAATTCCTACCATGTAGTTCAAAGCGGAAGCGAACTAGGTTGCAAAGCCTGGTGTAGCGCGTAACTTCAGAAGAAGAGAGCGGAATAATCCTTCCCCACAAGAATTAGAAAGGGGACGCTTTTTTGCGGAGAAATGCCTTTTCTCTCCTCTTGGGCGCTACGTGAGTTTGCGACCCAGAACATACAAATGCTAGTTTATAAAGCGATCGATTGACGGGTGACACTGATCTCGTCTCTGCGCCGCCTCTTGTTGGGGACTGAGATCTAGAAGAGGACAGACGGGCGAGGTGGAGATTCTCGACCAATCAGCGGCCCCTCAGCCTCCTCGTGAGGGGGGCGTGACAGCCAATCGGGAAGCGAAGCCGGCAGCCCTACCGCCCCTCTCCACTTTCCCTTGCAGTGGCCGATGCCGCGGCAGAAGGCAGCGCGTAGTGGCGGTTAGAGGGCCCCCCCGCGCCCGCGCCCGCCTGGCCGGCGTGACGCCCGCGCTCGCCATGCTGATCACGCTGTGCTACTTGTATCTGTGGGCTCGCTGGCGGGGCCGCTCGGCTGGACTCATCCGCCGCACTGTGCGCAGGCTGTACCGAACCCGTTCGTTCACCTTCTGTGCTTCCTCCGGCTCCGCGTGCTCTCGCCAAACGCTACGCCTCCAGCCTTCCCACCACCCCCTTTGCAGTCAGGGGCCTTCCCACGGCTCCGAGGAAAGAATCTGCCTCAGGACGGGGGACAAGATTTTCTTCACGGACGAGGCTCAGGTGTGATGTCGCAGGCGGTGGAGACGCGGTTTGAGTGAGGCGGGCCCTGTTTTACATTGAAGTGGAAGTAATTGCAGCCTTACCCAATTTTGGCACCTTCCCAGTTTTGGACTTCAACTCCCATCAGGCCCAGCCAGCATAGCCAATGGTCAGGGATCTCGGGAATTGCAGGCCAGTTCGAGAGGGTACCTGATTGGGGAAGGCTGCTATAAAGGATGAGGTGAGCCTTATACTTCACACAAGTCTGGTGTGTCTTGGGCATCTTGGTACCTTTATAGGTGTGTGAGTGACAGTTCCTTTGCCAACTCTGTAATGGGCAGAATTAACAGCTGCAGCTTTTCCTGATAGAAGCAGTAACCTTTTTTTACTGTTTATTTGGTGTATTTACAGCCTGCTTTTTCACTTAAAGATCTTAAGGAAGCCTACACATTAGCATATCCCACTTAGGATGGAATTCATAGAAAGCAACTATTTCCAAATACTAAAAAGGAAGTAGTTAAATAAAAGTAGAAATTATATCAATAAAGGTAACAAGTTCATAGTGTTCTTATATGAAACCTGTGGCAGGGCAGGGGAAGATTTTCCCTGATGTGTAAACAATAAAGTAGCTGCATAAACTCAATGTTTTCTGTACATTTAAAGATGTGATTGAGAATTGTAAGCACTAACAATTGCTCGGTGCATGTACCAATGAGAGGCGTATAAGTGTATGTTTTGTGGATACATGAGTATTATGAATTAATGTAACTTGTATGTATGTAACATAATGCATGAACTCACCATATTCTTTTATGGTACAGGTTTAGAGCCTAGGTAATAACCAGAACAGTGATGCTGAGATTGTATATACGTTAATTAGTGAATAGGCACCATTGAAGTTAATTTGGTCTACTGCAGAGTAGACTGCATGGAACTGTGCTCTAAACTGCCTTGGTTGGCTTCAGGAAGATGATACAGAAATACAGTAAATAGGTTATAGTAATGCTATTCAAAACAATTTTTGTGAATAGAATTTTTTTGTCATGAACATCTACATTCAGTGGTTCTGGGCTTTTTTCGGAATTAGAACATAAATCATAGTACTCTTGAGGTCTGGTTAACATTTTATAGTAAAGAATACAAACATCTATTGCTGAAACAGATGGGTGATCAAAATGGAGGTGCAAACTATTTTGCTATCCTATGTAAAGTGGCCTGTTGCAACTGTGTATCAACAACCCCTTCAAGAGTAAATATGTTTTCATGCAAAGTAGCAGTCTAGAAGTTTTACTGATATTATTTCTGTTACAGAACTGATTAAAGTCTGTAGACAAGGAAATATTTGAGGTGATTCAAATCTCATCTTACACAAACGATCACTAAGAAGCCATCATTCTCATTCTTTTCTTTTTCTTTTTGTCTTTAACCCATGGTAATATGAGTTAATGGTCCACTTTACAAAGTTGTGAACTTTCCGGAATTAACAATTCCTGTTATATTTCATAAATATATTTCACTTCAGGCAGATCACAATTATTGGAGTATATTTTATAATCTTGGAATTCTGGCACCTGTTAAAACACACACAGTACTAATCAGTCCTACCGATTTGCTTTCCACACAGAATGGGTTGGGTCCCCACACTATCATCTACCTGATACTTCCTGCAGTTCCCTAATGAATGGTGAACTGAGAATGATTGCACAGGCCTAATAGGCTCTGTAGAAATGTAATGATTTTCAGAAATAATGCTTTGGTTGTCTCCTGCCTGGTTCCTTTCATACTTCTTCTCTTTGCCCAATAATATGCCAACAAAAGCTTTAAATTTTTTGCCTGTACTGCTGTGCTGGTGCAATTAGTCATAGATGTTCAGTGCAAGTCACCTAGTGAGCTCAGAATAATAGGGTTGGAAATGGTCTATAAAGCATCAAGTCAATGCAGGACTCCAGTTAAAGCATCCCTGACATGCGGCTGTTTAGCTGCCTCTTAAATGCCTCCAGTGTGAGAGATCTTCTGACCTCCCTAGGTAATTTGTTCCATTACTATCCTTCTCTAATCATTTTTTCCCTCATCTCCAATCAGAATCTGTCTTCCTTTAACTTAAACCCTTCATTCCATGTCCTGCACTTTTAGATGATTGAGATGAGATCCTGGTGGTCCTCACTGTTTCAGCCTTGAAAAGTGCTGTCATATGCCCCCTCAGCCTTCCCAAAGCTAAACATGCCCAGTTCTTTCAACCCCTCCTCATAGGACTTTCCAGTCCCCTGATATCTTTCTTGCCACCTTCTGAAGTTTTCTTTCTACACCTTTCTTAAACTGTGCAGCTCCAAAGGTGACATCATGCTCAAGTTGAGGCCTAACTAGAGCCAAATATAGAGGAAGCAGTGCCCTACTTTTATACAGTCCAATATAACATTTGACTTTTTTTTGCAGCCATCAGATTGTTAACTCATAGTCAACTTGTTCTGTACAACAATTCCAAGATCCTTCTCACTTGCAGTATTGTTGAGCCTATTATCTCCCATCTTGTAACTCTGAATCTGGTTCCCTTTTCCTAGGTGAAGAACCTGATGTTGGTCCCTAATAAATCTCATTCTGTTGCTTTCAGCTTAGAGTTCCAACCTATTAAGATTGCTTTGATTCTTTTTTCTTTTTTCCAGCGTATTAGCTATCCCACCCAATTTTGTATCATATGCATATTGGTTCAGCATTCTTTGCACCTCTTTGTCCAAGTCATCGATAAAAATGTTGAACAGCACTGATCCCAGAGCTAAGCCCTGCAGTACCCCATTTGTTACCTCTCCCCAGTCTGAGAATGTTTATTTGAGAAGTCTTCCCTGAGTCTGATTCTGTAGCCAACTATGGGTCTACTGGATAATTTTTCCTTCTAGCCCACATTTAACTAGTTTTTTTATCAGTATGTCATGGAGCTTCATAGTTCAGTGAGAATTTGAACCTGGGTCTTCCCAGTGCTGGACTAACCACTGTGCAGTACTTCCTGTCAGCAGCCGTGACTTCTCTTTCACATTAGCCATGTCACATTATAGTAGACCAGAATTCTTAAGAGGCAGTATGCTAGTCGTGTGGTTTAATCATGACATACTAATTGAGGACTCTACTTTTGTCTCCAGTCATAAGCCCTGGCTTGTTCTTGGCTGATGAGCATGTCTTTTCTGGGGGAAGACAGTTTCCAGTTCAAAAATCATGCAAACAAACCACAGACAAGAAGGTTCATGATTTGTCTAGCCACTTCTCCACAGATAATAGGCTCCTGCTTGCATTAAGAGCAAGGCCATCTGACATGTGAGCATGGTTATTGTGCCTCATCCTTAGTAGCACGGTGGCTGACAGGATATGTGGAGATGGGGCCCAGCCTTCTCACAATACAGCACCCCGCTTCAGAATGTGAGAGAAATGGGGAGGAAGGGGTTGTCAGGTGACTCTGTAAAGTCAAGGTTTAACAAGCAAGATTAGTCAGGCAGCAACTGAGAACCAAAACTGTCTTAAGCATGGGAGGGATACACTGTAGCAAAGGTGGGAGAAGAGAGTATTTCTAGACCCAAGAGGTGGCACCAGGCCAAATGGGTGGACAGATTACACTGCTGTCAAGCATTCCTGCTATTTGGCCTGCAAGCACACCTGAGGGGCTGGAGTCGAGATTCTAGGAAGAGGAAGGGGCCATTCCAGTTTGGAGGCAGCTCTTCATATGGGCAGAGAGATTGTTACTTTGATTTACACCCTTTATCACAGTAAAATCTTAAGTTCCAGTAAAGGACTGTAATTTGGGGTTTCATTTTGGTCTACTAGAAGAGTAGAAAGAAAATGTGCCCATGAAAGACTGCATGACTAATGTGTCCTGGATAGGAATAGCCTGGACTTTGTTGTCCATGCATTGCTAACCTCATGTTTTAGGTTGCTGCAATGCCCTCTATGCAAAACTATCAGTGATATGGGAAGGAAACTTTTCTGTTTATTTCATTTATATACTTCCCCCATAGTCCATAGGATCTCTGGGAGGTTTACTATTATTAAAATCATAAATGCCATATATAAAATACTCATAAAATGTTATACAATATGTATTTTGGAAAAGAGCTATTAAACAGAATGGTCCTGTAAGGCAAAGGCATCAGATGGGAGGTTGTATTTTATCTCCCTATCTTTTCAATCTGTACATAGAAAACCCCATACAGAAAGTTGGATTAGAATCAAAAGGAGGAGTGAAAATTGGTGAAAGACACTTCAATAATTGAAGGTATGCAATTGATATATTATTGGCAGAAAATAACAATGAATTGAAGTGACTCTTGGTGAAGTGAAACAGAACAGGACTGAAACGGAAACAATCATAACTACAGAAGATCCACACAACTTTATTGTCAACAATGAAGAAATTGAAATTGTGAAAGAATTCACATACTTGGGCTCAGTTGTTAATTCAAAGGGAGATTGCAGCCAAGAAATTCCGGGAAGACTGAGACCAGGAAGGACAGCAATGAAATAACTAGAAAAGGTAGTCCAGTGTAAAGATGCTTCAGTGAGGACCAAAGCCAAGATCATTTACATTCATATATTCTTAATTATTATGTATGGATGTGAAAGCTGGTCAGTGAAGCAAGCTGTAAAGAAGACAATTGATGCATCCAGTACATGGTGCTAGAGGAGAGCTTTGCAAATACCCAGATCTAACAAAAAGTCCTTGATTAAATCAAGCCAGAGTTTTCCCTAGAAGAAAAATGACAAAACTCGAGCTGTTATACTTGAACATCATAAGAAGGCAGGACTCACTGGAGAAGATAGTGGTAGGGAAAGCTGAGAGCAGAAATAGAGGAAGAGCAACTATGAGACCAATTCCATAAAAGATGCAACACCCTTTAGTTTACAAGAGCAGAGTGAGTCTATAAGGGACAGAAGAGCATTTATAGGGTTGCCAAAAGTTGGAAACATCTGCATAGCACAGAACAACCAGAGGGGGAACATTATAGGCCATAATCAGTGCAACAATACACATAAAATAGCATAAAACATAATCCAGAAACAACACAATATGCAAACTGTTCATCTACACATATATAAAATCTGCCCTGAATAATAGAAATGAGTCAGAAGGGGTCATCTGTGCCATCTAGTCTGACCCCTGGCTCCAGCCAGCTCCGCTCGCAATATGCCTACCATGTGCATGTCCACTCTGTCCTTGAGCACCCTCACCAGTGGAGTTTCTACTACCTCCTGTAGAAGCCCATTCCATACCCTTGGGGTCCTAACTGTCAGGAAGTACTACTTGGCATCCAAATTGAACCTCGGTTCCATTGAGCTTTGCACCATCGGAATGTCCTGTCCTATTCTGCAGGGGAAATGGGTCTCGACCCACCTCTGCATAATAAATATATAAAAGCAGCCCTGAACAACTGAGTCATAACTAGTGTCCAGTTGCCTGGGAAATAAACACATTTTTGTATAGCACCAAAAAGATAACAGTGTCAACTCTGGGCAAGTCTCCTTTGGGAAAGCATTTCATCAACCTTGGTATCACAGAAAAGGCTTTCCCCCAAAACCAATACCACCCTGAGCTTCTTTTGCAGGAAGCTCAGAAAGAACAGAGAAGGGCCCCTGAAACTGACCTCATGGACCTTTTGGGTTCAGGTCATTTAGGGCTTTAGAATTTGGCTCAGAAATGAATTGGCAACCAGTGCAGGCAAGTCAACTGAGCTTTTGTGTTTATATCACCTAGACCCATCCAGTAATTTGCCTGCTGAATTCTGCACTGCCTACAGTTTCTGAACCATCTTCAAAGACTCCCCAACCTAAGAACACATTGCAGCCATCTAACATAGTGCCTGCTAAAGCATAGCCCGTATATATTATGCTATTTCCATCCAGCTTGGGTTGCAAATAGGCTACCAACTGAAGCTCATAGAAGATATGCTGCATCATGGAGTCCATCTGAGCCTCCATTGAGAATGATGGAGTCAAGAGTTGCTATCAGTTCAAGTACAGGATCTTGCTTTTGGCATGTAGAACTCTAAAAACTTTAGGACTAGGTTTCCTTGCAGACTGCTTATGCAGTGAAGACCTGTGTGATAGTTAAGATCATTGGAGGAGATTCTGCTGGTCATAATTCAATCTGTAAATTGCCATCTTGGATCAACGTGGAAGCAGGCTTTCTCCATGGTGGTGCCTACTTTGTGGAGTGCCCTCTCACTTAGTGTTCGAGAGAAACTTCCTTCAATGAGTAAGCAGCCCAGTTGATCATGGTGGTGTTAGTATCGATTTTAATGCTTTTTAGAAATGTTTTAATATTAAGTATTCTAATGCATATTGCAAGTATTTTCCTTATGCACTGCTTAAAGCTAATTATAAAATGCAGTCAGTGGGACATAAATGTATTAGATCATAATAACTAAAGTTATAGAGTAACAAAAGTAAGCTGTCAAAGGTGGCAACTTTGGAAGTGTTACTCGTTTAAAAATTATGAATAAAAATATTTTTAATAAAAATGGGATCTTTAATTTAAAGATTTAAATTGGAATATTTTAATTTAAATTGGACTTTTGAAAATAAAATGCTTTTTGAGGAAAATGTACCTAAAGATAGTATTCTGTTTAAGATACATTATAGTTCGAAGCATGAAGTAAGGATTAGTTTTTAATTATGTAGCATGAGGTTGTATATTCATGCAATGTTTACATTTTTTGGTAAATGAATCCTATTAATCCATTCACAGTGGCATGCTCTTCCAGAAGTTTCTGTAAGGTTATTGGGCAGTTTTTCTATGTAGAAGGTATTTTTGCAGATGCTTGGTTTTACAGTTCTCAAAACTGTGCATTTGTGTCTGCAGCGATAACATGCCTTTTCCTCATAGCAAAAATGTTATAAAATAAACATACAGAGTTGAGAAAAAAGACCTTAATCTCATTGTTTCTTTGCAAATCTATGTACATAGAATCAACCCCTTACCCTTTAAGTGTTAAGTTTCAAGAAATTCAGTGAATGGAAGGAAACTGTTGGGAGTGGAATAGAATAGAAGCCAAGCGCGAGGAGGCACAACTCTTTAGAGCCTGAGGTTTATCATATTATTCTTTCCCTGGAGGAGGAAAGCTATAATGGCAGTAGGCTGTCAAAGAGACCTAGTTGAAGAATATTTTAATGCAGTCCCTCTACTTACAGGTAAGGCAGGCTTGTATGCAAATTATGTCAAAAACCAAAATGTAAAATCTAAGTGACTAGTGATATATACTGGATGATTTTTGGATGGTCAAGCTATTAGGTTGGTTTGGTTGTGGTACTCAACTGGAAGTGTTTTAGAGACATGATAGTAAAGGACATGAAAGGAACAGATAATGACATGGATGGTTTATATCCTATTAAATAGCTGAGGAAAGGATAGGAGTACTTCTAAGTTTTGGTTTGTTTTCATTGGTGATATATTACTGTTGGTTTTATGTATATTTTTAATTATTGTTAATTGTTTTTGATTATGGATTGTTTGTTTTGATTTTTGTAAGCCGTTCTGAGATGCTTTGCGTATAGGACGGAGTATAAATATTTTAAATAAAATTTTAGAAAAATAAGTGGACTTTGATTTTGTAATACTTATTTGATTGTGTATTCTTCAGACAACTGTAAAATACAAGGGAGCAAAATCCTGACAGTGGCCTTATTGGTACTACTAGTGCTAAATAAAATTAAATTGGTGGTGGAATACATACTGGAATTGAACCATAATGGTGCAAGACAGGACCAATAATGCTATAGATTCTTATGTAGTGGCAGTAAATTATTAAAGTTCAGATTGTGTATGGCTCTAATACTTTGCTTTCTCAGTTGAATATGGTCTGCTTTTTCTTGATGGATGTGAGAAATTTTTTTTGAAGTAGATTCTCTTACTCTACTTGAATGTATTTTAGATATTGTAAGATATGCCTTGTTGGAACAGGTAGCCTAAAATAATATTGTATGTCACATCAGGAATATAAATGGATCTGTTTAGTAGAGTTCTGGTAGGTGAAGTGTGATTAATTTTTTCTTAACTGTTGTGATTTTTGGATATTTGTTGTATGAGCACTGACCTCAAGGAAGAAGGAAGTACATTTCCTGAAATGTTTAAAATATCATTTCTTCTTTCTTTCCAGTCCCTTGCTGATTTAAACAAATGGACATTACTTATTGTATCACCTTTTAGTTATCTGGACAAAATAGTTGAAGCTGAATATATCACATTTGTGACTGAGAGTGTTTCCATTCAAGCAGGTAGTTCGCAGGCTATAACTCATTCAACAGAAAAGGTGAGTGTGTGAGCATCTACAAGAAAGGATGGCCGTGAGGAAAGTAAAATCCAAAATCCACAGTTGGGCAAAATTTTATTAGAACTGACCAAAATTCTACAGAAATATGCAAGGTTTTGAGTTCTGCAGAATGCTTCCTCAGTCTAGGTAGTATAAAAAGTACAGAAAATAAGGGAGTCCAACAATGTGGCAGTTGTAGTCATGAGATTTTGTAGTATGGATAGATTTGGTCTCAAAATGGGAAATTTCAGTCTGAATAAATTAGTGGTAGGGTTGTTAAGTATGGTTTTACAGAGAACAATAGTCATCTCCCCTTCTGAAAGCTCAGTGTCTGGCTGTAGCTTGAACTTGTGGCTTGCCTTTTGCAAAGCGCATGGGTTCCCCTTTTGGCATAGAGCAGAAGTGCAGAGAAATACATTCTCCATTCCCTGCTTTTTGTAGCACCTAGCCTAATGAAAAATTCTGGAGAACTTGTTTCTTTAAAGGCCCTTTGTTATAAAGCTTTTGTGATCATTTGTTATTTCTTTTGCTTAGGAGGGGAAAAATGCAACATACATTTTGTAGCCAGATTATAATTTTTGATTGTACATTTATACATTTGTTATTGATATTTGTGCTGAAGATAAAAAGTACAATCCATTTGAGTGTTTTCCTGTGCGAGTTCCTTTGAAATTAATGAGAACAGCATAAGAGCTTTGTACTTTTTTTGAATGACTCCTCTATTTTCAGTAGGGCTTTCAAGGGAAAGTTGAATTAAAGCTGGGTTTTAAATTACATGCAATTTTTATTGTATTCTTATTACCTTTGTCAAGAGTAACTGGAATCATATAGTGCTTCTAACTTAGTATATTATCAGTAGAAATAAATATAATATGTAATGTTTAGGGTATCCTGCTTAAAATTTCTTGCTTCGGAGAATGTACTTATCTGCCAACCTGAATTTATAAGTTATAGTTATAAATATCTAAAAGTAAGAATGCCAGCTTAATTTTTCAAATTCCCCCTCATTATTTGAATCTCAGTATAATATGTGGTATACATTGACACACAATTAATCTGGAAAATATTCTGTATTCTTTTCTCCAGGTTGTGAAGTGGTCAGACTATTGTTCCCCTTTGGCTTTTAAGCCCGGAGAACCTTACATATTATTAGCTAAAGCCAGCATAGATAACTTCAGTAGCCTTGGTATAGCATTTATGGAAGATAAACTTCAAATGGATAATGGAATGATGCCTCAAAAAATTGTGTGTAAGTATTGTTGAATTAATTATTTTGGATTAATTCCAAATATGTATATTTGTAGTGACACACAGACAGTAGTTTGTATCTACATAGCTTCCAGTATTTGGTGCAAGAAAGTGGTTACAATCCTTCCTGCTGTGCTACCTAAAATTGCAATTGTTACTACTGTTTATGAGGGGTGTGTGTGTGAGAGAGAGGGAGGGAGGTGGAGAATGAATATTTAAGGACTAGTATTAATGATTAAATAAATCATTAATAAATGAATCTTGGAAATATACCCACTGAATTAAGCCATTTTAACTTTTCAGTGTATTTAGTGTTTAGGTTGGGGTTCTTTTCATAGGTCCAATACTTTCTATATAACTCATGAGTGACTGGCATATGGAATGGATATCATAATTGCTGAGTCAATAGGAGTCATAGTTATACCTGGATAGGAGTGGAAGGCCTGAACCTGCATATAATAGAAAATAATCGTGTGTACCAAGCTATCCTATGCTTTCTACCACTGTGATGGAATCAGGTTCCCAGTTCAGTAAACTAGAGGCAAATCTATTCCAAGGCACAGAGGGCTCCACATGTACATTAGTGCTTGTTGTAATGGTGCAAGTTCATACTTCTAGCACTAGGTAACTTAGGCAATCCTATACCTGTCTTTTTAAATAGTCCCATTAAACTGTTTAAGTCCCATTAAACATAGTTGCCTCTGACACCAGCTGGGGAGACAGGTAGGGAACATGTTTTTAAAGTGTCAACAGGAATTACACCCACATGATATGAATCCAAATCCACTCAGGACCAACCATGTAATGAACATTGCAAGCACATTTCCCAGTTCATCATCCACACATGGAGTGAGCATCAGACTACTATCCAGACACTGCATCTGTGTGCTGGTTTGGAACAATTGACTTTGAATTGCTCATTACACAGGAAGTTTAAAAGTGTTTTCAGTAGAGTACTCAAACCTGAGATAAAAAAATCAACATATCTTTGTTTCTATTTGTTTTGGATCACTTCAAAGTATGAGAGATCCTCATTCTAACTGCTCAGTGTTTTTCTCGAATATATTTGCACAGGATTTAAGTAATATAGACATTTTTTGCCATTACTGATCATGTGTTTTAGCCATCAAGAGCCTAATTCAAAGACTTGCTTTACCAGCACGTATTAGAAGGGTAAATCTAACAGCTGTGCAGTGGCAGCATTATTATAATTTAATATGTTGCATTGCAAATATCTTGTACAATTCAGGTATATTAGTGCAGGCTGGCCTTCTCCAACCTGGTGCTCTCCAGTTATTTTGGCTGGAACTCCCATTATTCTGAGTATTAATCATTATGGTTGGGGCTTGTAGGAGATGTAGTTCAAAACTACAGATTGAGAAAGACTGCATTAGGGTATTAATCATATATTAAAAAGCATTACTCGGCAGTGCTGTTGCATATTGTGTTTAATAACTTTCTTTAAAATGTGTCAGCTGTGCATCTACAAAAACCAGGATTGGAAGATTTAAAACTGGCAACAAGTACCAAAGAAGAGGAAAATGTTAATGAGCTTGATGAACTGAGATGGGATTCTTCTTTTCCGACTCCTGATAATCTGGAAGCTGTGGATTATTCAGGAGATAATGATCAAGAAGTGCAAAAAGAAAAACATATATTGGAGAAAGTAAATGAACATCATGAACAACTTGAGAAAGATTCTGAAAAGGGAATAATAATGGGTGAGCGTCATCATCTGCATCTTTCCAGTTGCGTTGAGTGCTTGAAACTGGAGAATAGCACAATTGAATCAGTTAAATTTGCTCCTACAGAAAACATTCTAGAGCTTTCTGATTATGGCAGTGGAAGTTTAGAAGATGGTGATGGTAGTTGTCTGACAAGAAACAGAGTAAATCTCACTGGGAAACCACCTAATGTTTTAATTTATGTTGGTTCTGACTCTGACAAGGTGAAATTTGAACAAATAAAATCCCTTATCTTGGAATGTATTGATGTTAATGCTTACACAGTCTACCATTTGTTAGAAAAACAAGTTCTGAGTGTGCCCTGGCTTGACAATGCATTGCTGTTGATCATTGCTGCATCACAACCCATTTCAGATGCTGTGTCCAAACAGTTTCTGGATTTCATGTCCAAAGGTGGGAAGATTTTAGGACTTTCTACTTCTTTCAGTTTTGGTGGGATACATGTGAAGAGTAAAGATGAACTGATGGACACAGTGCAGGCCATTGTGTTTGCAAAAAATAAGAACAATGAAATTAAACTAAATCTTCTTGCTAGTGGAAATGTCTTTGAAAAAGAAAGTTCTGAAGAATGTCCTTCTGTGAAGCCACTATGTTACTTGGACAGTTCCAATAAAGACATGGTGATTGTCCACTTGCCATATGGAAATAGCGGAGGAGAAGCCATTCTTTGTCAGGTATTGTACACAAAGCTTTGCTTGCTATTTTTTCCAATTTGTTGTTATATGCTGTCAAGTGTGTCTCCAGCTTTTTGCACCTCTATGAGTGAAAGCTCTTAAATGTCCTATCCATTACAGCACTGCTCAGCTCTGGCTTCTTTTATGGATTCTGTTCATCTCATATTTGGTCTTGTCTTCTGCCTTTGACTTTTCCTAACATGATTGTCTTCTGCAGTGAGTCTTGCCTTCTTGTCATGTGTCCAAGTTATGACATCATGTCCAAGTTCTTTTTTTCCTTCAAGGGGAAGTTCTAGTTCTTGATTTGACCTAGGACCCACTTGTTCATTTTTCTCTCAGTCCAATATATGTGCAAAGCTCTCTTAGTGCCATTTTTTGAATACATCAAGTTTCTTCCTGTCAGCTTTCTTCACTGACCACCTTTCACACCCACTCATAGTTAAATATTTTATTAAAGAATATTTAATAAATGGCAGATCATAGGCAAACTGATTTTTAGAAAAGTAATGTGTTGCAAGTTAGGTTAGGTTGGCAACAGCTTCTATTGCTGTTTCTTATTCACAAAGGAAAATTTAGAAAATTGTTTATTGCTGTGCATAGTTCGAATCCAAAATACTGTTTGAGTGGAACATACTTCTGCTTGAACATCTGGCATCTGCTGTTCCCCACCTCACCCCACCCTGCCTGCAGTCCTTGTACCTCATTTCACATTACTCTGAAGGTATCGCCTTGACCTTCCAGAAGGGGCTTTCAACAAGTATCTGCCGTGAGAGGGGACGAGTGGGAAAGCCTCATTTTATGTAGTTCTTCGGATGCGAATTCATGCTGTTAAGTTGAGTGGATATCTATGCTACAACATTCCCAGTGATCATTCTGTTTTAATTCCATGCTGTCACCTTTCATTTGATTGGAAAGGTAATATCCCACTCCAACTGATATCACCTAGTAGATATTCTTTGTCCCAGGATTATTGTTGCCCTGCTGTTTTAATATGTAGTAATTATTAAACGCCTGAAGTGCCTGGGAATAAAGCATTAGTAAAAAAAAAAAACTACATAACAATTAAACTTTTCGGATGATCATGTGGTAAATGTATCAAACACAGGTTTTTTAAAAGGTTTAAATCAAGATTGTCATTTATCTTCACAGGTGCATTTGGAGGTGGATGCCAAACATTTGTCCAACCGCTCAAACAGTGATTTCAATTCACTCAAAATAAGCAATGCCAAAAGATATGAAGTTCTTACTGAAATCCTGACACTACTTGGCTTGAGCTGTGAATTATGTGAGGTTCCTCTGTTAACTCCTGTTTACTTACTCTCATCTGATAAGGTTAGCCTATGTTTGGTTTTAAAATAGCATTGTTCTTATAGTCCTGTGGTATAATGTTTTACAAAGATGGTGATTATCAGACAAGTATATTTGGTTGTAATTGCCCTTGATTATGAGTGATCGGATAGTTAGTATACCCATCAAAGGCATGGTTAAATGACATTTGAGTGATAGGTGTATATAATGAACCTATCAAAAAGTCAGTATGGTGGTCTGCCATTCTATTGCCAACTTGATGTATTACCTGGGTACTTTGTACATTAGAAGATAATATTAGGTCAGGTATATATAAGATCTTATGCTTTTCAGTGTGTCACTTAATTTATTCCATTTTTATTTGTCTTTAGTATCAAAAGTTCTAAATACTGAACCTTCTCAGTAATTTTAAGTGTTACTGTTATTATATTAGTATTATTAGTAATGCAAACATGTTGCACTCTTAAATCTGAGGAAATAAAAGGTGTCATATTAAGCAGCAAAGAAGTGGGGGAGGTGGAAGGAGGAGAAATCTAATTAGCAAATGTACTGTAGGAGAAGGTTGTAGTCTTTTATACAGTAGATGAATACAGTCCACTTGCTATGGTGGTTCTTTAACATTCTTACAGAATAGAAATTTTCTTAGTTTTTAGAAAATATCCATCAGTTTTGCATTATATTTCCTCTCCATTGACTTCCTTGATTTGAACGCTGCTTTTATTTCCCAATCCAAAACAATGCACACATTTCCTTGAGATTTAAAAGCAAGCAGACAAAACTTCAGAAGTTGTAGAATGGGACAGATCAAGTTCCCCTGTGGTGACCCTATTCACTTTGTCCTATTCATCTATGTTCTCGGGTGGGGGACTCACAGGAACTGAGGAACTGGAAAAGGAGCCATTTCCCATTTCCGAACTACATGGGGACTTGTGGACATGTGGAAAAGGTGGAGGCCACTGTGAAGGATTGTTCCAACACTAGGAATCAAGAGGAATACATTGCTGGGGCAAGATCTTAAACCTATCCCGTTTTGGTGCAGCTGCTCTGCTGCCTTTTCTCCTTTTCCTTCTGCTTTCCAACTGACAGCATAGCCTATATACAGTTTTGCCTGGTCAGTTGGTTACATTTAGCTTTTAAAACTAACAAGGGCATTAACCAAGCAAGACAACACATACTTTTGACAGCTGTAACAGCACATTTGCACAACTACAAAAGACTGTTTTTTTTTTTTTTTCAATTTCAAAGAAGTAGCTACCATGTTTTTTTCTATGTGGACTACACTAGGAAAAGCACTCCAAATACTACAGTCCCAGCTGCAACATCAGAGCTGTTTGTGGACATTGGAGCTGGGGCTCCAGAAAATCCTAATGCACCTTAGAGGATGTCTGTGAATCATAGGATCGTGATGTCTAGATGATTATGAAATTTTAGTCCATCCTTAATTTGATTTCAGTAAACCATCAGTACAGAAGACAGCTATGAAGATATTTTAAAAAGATACTTGTAAACAAGCATTACAAATAATATGCTTGTGCGCTGTGTGTGTGTACATGCGCGTAAGCACATGTACACCTGCATATTTTCATGGAAAAAAGGGATAGCAGCTTATTTCTTGGATATTACTGTCTTGTTGAATGCATAGATTCCTGATAGCCTTTGTTCATTCAGATTTTTAATGGCCACTAAAAGGAATGTATATGTGTGCTTAGTTCAATTTATTATCATCTGCTTGATTTCTAGCCTAGTCATATTTTGAAAATTATTATTTGTATTAATGCATTCATTTCAACTCTAAATTCTTAAGAGGACGACTTGTATGTACATTTAATTAACTATACTTCCAAAGCTGGCTTTTTGATGAGCTTTTAGAATATTCTAGTATATCCTTATGTTTCCAGAAAGTTATTTAAACTTGATTGCTAAAAAAAATTACCACAAGATGGCACTTCTGAGCTACCTTAGAATTTATGTGTTGCACAGAACATGGATTTCTAATATTCATGATTTCTGCTGTTGAAATGCTGCCTTCATTATTAGTGATTTTGTCTAAAAGCCTGGAAAACACTTGTTCAGAAGTTGTTTTTGAGGCTTAAAAATAATTTTAAGCAGTTAAACTTCAGAAGGTGTACTTCAGCAATTTTCACTAAATACATGCTACAAAATCTTAGAATGAGGCCAACAAATAAAAACTCAAAACATATACAACAGTTCTAATAATAATTTGACTAAATGTGTACACCTGACAAATATTGAGTTGGCTTCTTTTTGTAGAATTTCAAATATTTTATTATCTTTGTTCATGGAGATGGTAGTCAAGTAAAGGGACAACAGTTTGACCAACTGTGAAACAGCAGGGTTTTTCAAGGCCCTGGAGCTCAATATTATTTTACTTTATTTTAATTGTATTTGTGAAATTCAGAATCTAAGTATAATGCTTTGAAGGTCTGCTTTAATTTCTTGTTTAAAGGTCACGTTCTGTTCTATTGTGGTCTGTTTCACAAGCTTTATAATTGAGGGCCAAAATATTTGTCAGTTTAAGCTATTTAAAGTAGGATGCTTAATCTGGCCACCTTTATCAAGGAGAAAAAAAAGCAACTGTAGAACACTAACGCATGTATGCCGAAGAACTGAATGGTGACCTTGTGCCAATTTTCTGCTGCAGAAAAAAACATGGATCAATTTGGGGCTGTTTAACTCACAAACAACCCCAAGTTCTAGGGTTTAGATGTTAGAGAGAAAACCTACCAGTGCTGCATTAGTAGGACGATGCTGGAAATTGGAAATAGGTTATGCATGGTGCATATTAATTAATATGCTCTCATTACTTGAGTAACTTACCTTCTTATTACTACTGCCTAGGAGGAGATGCATTTGAGCCCTGGTAGGTGCCCACAGTCAGGAGCTGCAACACAATACCTCACTGTCTCTATTCAATATACTTTTTGCCTCTTTAGGCTTGACTGGGACTTATTACATGCTAGCCCCAAACCATCTTAGACCCATCAGAAGCCCAGTGTGAGACATGGATACATTTGTGAATACATTTGTGAGACATTTCCAGGATAAAATTTGTTGCATCAGCTGGGACTTACACTCCGGTGCTATAACAGTTGAATCAGGCACCTAGAATAGATCACATAGATTTGCAAAGGAACAATGGGATTAAGGTCTTTTTTCTCAACTCTGTATGTTTATAATATAACATTTTTGGTATGAGGAAAAGGCACAGATGCACAGTTTTGAGAACTGTAAAACCAAGCATCTGTGATAATGCCTTCTACTTAGAAAAAATGCCCAATAACTTTACAGAAACTTCTGGAAGAGCATGCCATTGTGAATGGATTAATAGGATTCATTTACCAAAGAATGTAAACGTTGCATGAATATACAACCTCATGCTACATAATTAAAAATTAATCCTTATTTCATGCTGAATAACCTTTGGAGTATAATCTATCTTAAATAGGAAACTATCTTTATGTATATTTTTTCTTAAAGTGTTTTATTTTTTAAAAAAATCCTATTTAAATTTTAATAATTGAATTTAAATTTAAAAATCCATTTTTAAAATCATAGATTTTTATCCACTCTTTTATTGCTTCTATTTTATATTCTTGCTGTATTTTATGCTTTTTTAAATCTCCAAGAGAGCTTTGGCTGTTGGGTGTTACAATTTATTATTGATTTTATTTCTATAATATTATTATAATAGAATTGCAGATTCAGTCATCTGATGTCTAGCAGTTACGCATTTGCCGTTTTGGAAATGATCCCTGAACCATCTCTACTTGGGGTAATTAAAGAAAGTGACTGATTTGGATTCAGTTTCAACCTTAGAAAATGACATAGCAAATATCCTTTTGCGTCTCCAAGTTGCAGGGGGCTCATGTGAAGTAGGTGGGTGTGCTTAAATATATAGACTCTCTGTCTTGTACAGAATGCTCTAGAGAACCTTTTCAATTTGGCAGTAGTTTACTTAAGTATAAGATCAACAGTAAAGAGCTGGAAAAAATGGAAATATCCAAATTTTCAAAGGCTTTAAGATTCTTTACCCCTGCAATGTGGCCTCTAGCTAATGTATGTAAAAGACCTGAATATTAACAAAGCTGTCATATCCTGGACTTTGTGAAATACTGTCTGTCAAGGAAGGTGCTTTAACTCCCAACAGTGTAGGCAGGGACAAAAAGTTTCTCTGATTGAACACTGGCCCAGGGAGGCAGGCTGTTACTTCTCCTAACATTCAGCCCAAGCTAGCTGAAATAAGACTATGGCCTTTTATTTCAAAGTCACAATCCCCAGATATCCACCAATATCCAAGCCTTGAATGTAGTACCAAGGCTTAATTGGAATGAGATATACCTGTCCTGTTATGATAGCTGGTAAGTTTATGGAAAAGGAAAGGAAATGATATACCACAAACAAAGCAATATTTGGAAATGGCACAGAGCAAAGCCAGCAAAAACAACTAAAACCTGGCTTTATGTGCCAATAGCACAGGGTCTTCCATAGACCTGGACCTCAGAGAGATGGAAATCCAAAACAGACAATGGAAAGGGCAAAACCAAACCAAAAGAAGGCAAAAGACAGCTTTAGCAATACTCAGCTGATTCATATTAAGCAATCACAACTTAACTGAAATAGTCTTCCTAGTCTTTCTGGGGAAGCAGCAGAATATTCCCACCAACACCCCACCATGCCTGTTTAATCCAAAATAGTGAGAGTTCTCTGACCTTGAAGCTGGGGCAGTATGAGGTAATGCGTACAGATGGCTCAGTATGTACAGCTTCAGCTTTATAAAACAAAACTTTCACAGGCTGCTAAAACACAGAAAGAAAATTGATTTCTTAGTACTGTCTCATTGACATTACTCAGTTCCAGCTAGAGAAGATAACTGTGTTCTTGCTAAGTAGGCAAATTTTTCTCTTTTGTGTTAAGAAAGCAATCCAGCTATAAGTTCTTACATCAGCAACTCTGATTAAAGTATTGTCAGAGTTCAAAAATGGGTTTTACCATAAAGTAAATAC